TATTACCACAAGAGTAAAGCTCCAGGATAAGATGGCACTGCAGCGCACCTTGACCAAATGTAAAATCTACGACACGATCCCCCTCTAATTGTGTGAGTGCTGATAGCCTCTTTCCACGCAAGTGCTTGCGAAGTTTCATCGTAAATTGACTTGGTAGTGCACTCCCGGCTTTAGCATCACGAGCGTATTTACTTGTATGAAAACGCACACCTGATTCAAGCAATAGAAAAACTTTGGGAAATGGAGGTTGATGCAGTTTTAAGATATAAGTCTTAGCTGCACCACTCTCACTCTCAACCTGAATGTCGTAGATGTTGGTCACACGCATGTTGACAACATTAGCGCGGATGCTTCCGACCATCGCATGGATGTCGTCGATAGACATGCGCATTTTCTTCATGATGAATGAATTGATTGACCTAATGGCTCAAGATTTAAGTGAACAGCTTGAATTTTATTGAAAGTCCAAAATTTGTCACTATAAAGCCCATCCAAATTGAAATTTTCTCAATTGCATTGTAGTACGTCAAAATATAGAATGGACAAGATTTACTTTAGTGATCATTCAGAATGCTCTTAAATCAAATAGGTCGACGGTGGTTGACAAAGAAAGATAGAAAGCCCACTAGTCGTATTTTACTTCTTTTGTCTCCTTTACATTCAATTTGCGAGCATTCTGATTGGTTCCCGACAGCTTCTCAATTTGATCTATGAGAGGCAGCGTATCGAGTTCAGGTGAAGCGTGCCGTATTCATTACAACTTGATTGTTTAGAGTGATAGATAATGATATCTTGCTACCACTATGTTCTCATTGAACAATGGTTCATGTAACATTGCCGTTGCACAGAGGAAATTTTAAACTCCAGAGTCTACGCTCACGAACACGCAAAAGTTAGGACTGTACGGTCATGCCAGGAACTCGAGAGCCAACATTATAGTCATGATTCTTTTTCTTAAAAAGAAAAGAAAGATCCACACGAGCAGTGAGAATTTCTGTTCCATTTTTCTTGTCCTCAGTGCTTTGAGAGTATCCTCAACTGACCGATTCACCAATCGCGGATGATGAGCTCAGGTCCTCCTCCAGTTTTCACCGAACCATTCTGGTAACCTCACTGTCCTGCAATTCCTTACAAGTATAATTCTCCCAATTAATAAGCTTCTGCCGGATATATTAAGGCGATATTTACAGCCTTCAGGACTCCACTTGCTACTACTTTCACGATGAACTGTCTTACAAGAGAATCCTGCGGAGCTAGGTACCTTTTTTAGCCTCAAAACCCAGTGACCTGCACGGTAAGCCCATTGCACGATAGCGCTGACTCAACCGTGCCGTCACATCGTAACAACGAGAGCCAAACTTTCTACCTTCATGACCTAGACCTTCTACACGCGACTTCTTTAAAGTTGCTTTATTAACCACCTTTTCTAGTACGAAAGACGATTCCTTTCATTCTTTACTGTCTCTAGCACAAAAATATTCTTAACTATCTCGCTAATCATATAATTCGCACTCTAAAGAAGGTGGTGATGCACTGCCACTAATTTCCGTATCATCCTGAGACCTTGGCTTACTTCCGCATCTACCTTCCGAGCAATCGGCTAACTGCCGCATCTGCTTTCCGAGCACTGCTCGAGACAACTAGCACTACCATTGTTATCACTTTTATATTAACTCCATGACCTGAACGAAAGCTATCACAGCTATATGTCTGCGTCAAATTAGCCTTTTCCCCTGGCTGGGATAAGTATATGGCTCGTCAAAGCTCCACTACAAGATATTTGCTTAGTACTCCACTTTTCGACTCTCGGTCGACCCATAGGTCGGGAAGTTCCAGCCACGACATAACGAGGATAGGATGCATGCCGAATCCAGAACTGAGAGTAGACAATGGTCCATGCTGTCAAAATTCGCGAATTTCACGTGAAGTTCTAATATTGGTGCGAGGGGTTTCGAAACAATTGTTGCTGATGGAACAGTGCACAAGTCCGAGACGGAGACTAATTCATAAGTATCAAAGTCTCAGTATTTCTGAAAATGTTTGATTTCTGAAACTAAGGTGTGCGTGTTTCACGTCGGCTGGTAGCTGCACGCACGATATTAATAGAATAGCAAATTTAGTATCCGTATAAATTCTATATATATAGACTCTCTCGAAGCTAACTAAACACATAGTTACAGTGGACGCATTCGATTTGCTCCTGGTAGAGCGTACAGTACTCACATGTGTGCGTTCGTGAGTGTGGAATCTACAGTCGAGTTTATCCTCTGTGCTATGGCAATGTTACATAAACCTATGTTCGTTGAGAGCATAGTGGTAGCAAGATGTCATCATCTATCACGTTGCGGAACGAAGTTGTTTTGATGAGACACGCTTTACATGAACTCAATATGCTGTCTCTCAAAGATCAAGTGTATAAGCTGTTGGGGAGCAATCAGAATGTTCGCAAATCGAAAATTCCTGCATAAAGGTGGCACAAGATGTAAAACTAAAATGCGACTAGCATATAATTGCGGGTCAAATTTGATTAAACGTGCACAAAACATATATATCAGCCCGATGGGCTCTCTATCTTTCTGTGTCAATCAGCGTCGACCTTCTTGTTTTAGGAGCAAAGGATTCCGAATCACCAGTAAAGTAAATATAATACATTCTATATTGACGTACTACATTGAATCTTATATACCAGTGACGTTTTATTGACTGGTGTAACACAACTGTTATGGCCACATCGTGGTTATACACGATGAAGTGGTTCCAGTCCTAATTAGGGGCTGTCGATCAAAACAAATTTGCAAATATGAGCTTGGTCATACGTCGTAGCAACACTAGTAAATTGAAATCAATGGTATTGAGCGTCATGCGCAGGGTGCGCACTGCTATGGCTGAGAGCTAAGATAAACAAAAGCAGCTACATCAGAGGTAGATGGAACATACACGATATTTTTTGTGGAAAAAAAAAGATTGATCTGCCTATGCATCCAGTAGGTGCGGTCTATAAGACCAAGTTGCAACCGAGCTACATCAGAATGTTTACGGTCGTAGCGATGGAGGAATTGAAATATACAAAATACAGCGAATGCAAAAAAATCCTATGTAGTTCTTTGGTTTACTGTAACCATGCTACGATTTCGCTTTTACGAGCCAAGGACACTGTTGCCGACCAAACAACATCTCTTTGCCATTACCAGAAGCTGGGGGTACTTTCTGCTCCAAATCAGCGTCACGGTTCAAAGCCGCGCAGAATTCCTTGAGTCAGGCAGAGCGATGGCAAAGCTCAGAGAGAGTTTAAATCTGGTTCAAATCAACTTCGGACGCACGCCATGATCCTCGGAGAATTGACGTGCCGCCACAACGGAGCGAGCTCACGAGAGTCAGTCGTAACGGCTTATTGATGCTAATTAGCAAGGGGTAGCTCACTTTCATGCGCGACATATAATGGACCAGCGTGTGCACCAGGCGTTGCTAGTACCTGATGAAGGTTATCCTCAGTTTAAAAATTAATGGGAGCTTGTGGGCCACTTCGGGAAGATAGTCATAATACCGCGATAGCTTACGCCCTGCCGTACCCTTGGCCTTTGTGTCCCTTGTAGAAGAGGCAGGGTCACCTGTCGATGCGCAATTTCTCACAGTGATAAACAAAACTTGTGGTGAATAACCTTCTTGGGTGGCCGCTTCTCCAGCCCTCTCATAAAGACAAGCGACATTGCCTAGTATAAATCGAACGTGGTGGGTTGTCATATCAACATCCACTTTGCTGAGGGTTGCAACGCGTTCAGATAAATTTGCGATATGTTCCCCTCATCCTCTTTGCAGTTCGAGTATGACACGCATCAGCAATTAGAATGGCTTCTAGATTTCAAGGGTACATCCCCCATGAAGTGTACGCGTTACCTCAACCGCTGCGGCTCCAAGCGCAGACAGTATTACTGCGGGGTGATGAACTGTGAGTTGTGAATGCGGTTGCAAAGCAGCTTTTTGTCGCTCGTTTTGCTCCTTTCGTGCGCGAGGTGTCTACATATATATGTGTGAAGCGCCAGCGCGGCATCAAACAGTTTGAATATGTAATTTTGACGCGACATTTTGATTGAAAGTCAGTCTGACTCTTGCGTTTATAGCCAAGCAAGTAAGATTCGTTTCCCAAGACCAGCTTATTGATTTAGAGCCGGGCATAGTCCTTAGTTTCACGCCCCCCCCCTTATAGACTAGGACACGAGTTCTGAGCTCGTTGAGCAAGAATGCGGATCACAGTGAGCATTTCATGTGGGGCACGGCTTGACCTTTTATTCCCAGGCGAGAGCGAAGGTATTTGGTCGGCAACTAGCGAGTCATCCGGATTGATCTCGTCGGAATAAAGCTTAAGAATACTCTACGACAATTTTCTTAGCGCGTTAGTTTCCAAGACCTCGCTTTTAGCAATGTTTCCTTGAGATCTCTTATATAGATCACAAGACCACACTGCTGATGCAAGTATGATGGGTGATGTGTAAAGGAAATGGGTGCACAGCCTTTCCACGTGGAGCGGTCACTTTTGCGCAATGTAAACCATTGAATAGTCTGCTTATCAGTGAAGGAGATTGTAGTGAGGCAAGTACTGGAAATCGCGTACTAAACTCTTGCACCGTATCGAAATGTATACTACGATACGGTACAATTGTAGAAATTTAAGTTTCATTTGAAGAGATTCTTAACATTTATATGCAGGCCTCTGTATATCAGGCAGATACCGCAATTACCGTATTTTTATTAAAGTACGGTATTCACTCGAGTCAACAAACGACATAGAAGGCAAAACACTTGTGATCAACGAAATGAGGTAGTTTATATTGATTAAGCAAGATATTGATTTGGATGTAGTATCCCATAGAACAAAAAGAAGCGTGTGAGCTGCGGCGGGATTCTTTTTTCCACTTTGATACGGAGAATCTAACTCAATTATAAAATACTGCCTGAAAGCCAATGCTCTCAATCTTTGCACACGAACAGTACGATAAACGGCTGTAGTAGCTTTAGACCAAACCCGAATCATCACATGCTGAGATAATGTCTGAAGAAATCCTTCGACGGCATTAGAATTGGTATTATTTTGATGGCTGCCACAGAGGACAGCTCACGCAACATGTCAAACTAGAAGCTACAAAGCAAAGCACCGGCTCTTCCCGCTCTTTCTGTGACAGCCGCTGAGAGTCTGAATTTCAAATATTCCCTGGTCTTGCACAATCCCGACGATCGCTTACTTATCAACAGCTCAGATTTCAGTAACAGAATACCGGTTGGGATCTAAGGACAACTCATCGTCTTTTTCCATTGGTCCTTTAAAAAGACACTTTCTTAAGGCTCACAATTAGCTGATTAATTTCAGCCGCCAGCGCTGCCAGAGTAACGGCATTACCTTGCTATTTCTCGACAAAATAATTAATTTGCGGGGGATACATCGTCGACAGCTGAAAGCAATATAAGCCATTCTAAATCATAAAGACGTCGGAGCAGGTTGCTTCATCCATTGCAGAGGCACTCGATGTGGTCAATTTTTTCTTGGCAATGTTTTGAACAGTCACCGACTGATGCGTCTTATGAAAATCTAGTGTGTTGCCAACAAAAGAGGACATACAGCTTTAGTAACAAAAACGTTTTTGTCTCCTCAGATATCTAATTAGTGCCGTTAACGATTCGTAAAATCGTGGGCTGTCGAGTGCTTTAAAGGTCATCTATATAACGATATCAATCTGATGTAGCAAGAGCCATACACGAACAAAGCCTCGTTCTATAACAGGTTTTGTAGACGCGATACAACGCCAGATTCGTGCTTGGTCATATTCGCCGTCAATCCGTTGAGCATTCGATCAGCTCATTAGGCCAGACTGAGCAAAACCGCCAGAAGGCTTATTGAAGATTTCGTACATGGTGTTTCCTGTGAAGTATCATTCAAATGCTTTGCAAGAACGAAAACTTTTTTTTTAAATAGCTGAGCCGGATTTCCACATCAATGTATGAAGTTCGTGAAATTCATTTGACCCCCATCAAAGGCAACACAGTATTCCTAGACATCATAAATGGTCTCCATGATATTGAAAAATGAAGCAGCACATACTTCTCGTGCATACTTGGCGACATTAAATTCAGTGCTGCTTCAATCGCCTACTCTTTAACTCTGATAGAATTGCATGATGGCACAAGACACTGCTATAGATAATACTAATTTTGCTAAATGTACCGCTTCAAAGCCCATTCAAAACGAAATACCTTAGATACCAGAGTTGATAGCCAATTTAAACTGTTTGATTTGATGAATATTCACCTCATATAAGCTGCAGTCTTTGTTTAGTAAAAATATAAAAATACAATTAGCTGCATGAGGCTTGCTTTCTTCTCCACCTTGCGGCAGATATTGTCCAATGATAATTTTGACGATGACTTTGTAATTTGTAAAATATAACGCCTGCGATCGCGGCTTCACATTAGCATCTGTTGGCATGCATCATGCTAGCTGATAATCATAGCATGTCCACCCTTCAGGCGAAAGCGTGCGGCACTCTGATATTTAGTCGAATGGTTGGTTCTGTGGTGCTACCTATAGTCTTTCGGGTCTGAATGGCTGTCCCTTGACATTCCAGGATGTACTTGCATTCTTCTTTAAATTGCTCTCTCGACCAAAGACAACTCAAAATTCTCACGGGACAGCTACAACGTCTTCAGATTACTGGTCTTGGGCAGCAATGCATTCACCATTTGAAACGGCGTCATTCGCGATCCGAAAATCTCTTTGCGTGACAATTTAGCTTGCGAATGTCCTTCGGCAACATCTTCATTAGCAATGATACTACTGTTAAATGATAACGATGATATGATATTGCTCAACAGACTTTACAACACAACTTTACAGGCGACTGACCTTCCGCCATCAGCGAAAACATTTGCCAATTTTTTTCAATAGAAATCTATAGTAGGTAATTGTTGTGCTATTTTCTTTTGAACTAGCATTTTTTCATACCCGACGTATCCGAAACGAAGCCAAGGAATAGAGTTCATGCGGAGAAGGTCTTATTGATCATCAGGCAAGATAGTGGTAGGCTTATAACACAGGCTACAATTACGGCACTTTTCTAGATATCATTGATCTGCCTTTAAGCAAACCCCTGCCTCCATTTTACTTTTGATGTTGCTAAGAATCGGGAGTATGCTGCATTGGTTACGACAAGTAAGGGCAACAAACTTGTGCGAACTTTGAAGATGGCGGTTGTGCGCACAGATCCAAGAATTGTCAAAATCAGCCAGTAATTTGATTTAAACAAAATATCGATATTGTATTTAGAATGTTAGATAACAGAGTTATAAATTTCTTAAGACTTAAGTAATGAAGGCTCGTCGAGAAACCTTTCACACAGCTTGCGATTGTTTAGACCGAGATGTCTGATCGATAATACATAGACGCAAGAGCATTAAACGAGCATTATATGAGCCGGCTAAAGCTCTAGCTGTGATTCATTTCGTACTCCGCTTTTGCAACAGATTCGGTGATCAAAAGACTTTTCTCCCACAGAGGCCTGATCAAATTCTCGACAAAGGACCAAAATCGGTTGAATCTCCGCGTATCGGCTCCTCGAATGACGGAATTTGACGGACGATACGTTATTTGACCATTCATTATATACAGCGTGTCTTTTGGTTTAATGTTGCATTGAACACTTACTTATCAGCCGTGACAAGTGTATCAATGACACCTGCTCTTATGCCGGCTTATCTGGCCAAAAGTATCGAGGGAATGTTGATGGCAACTAATACTGCTGTATTTGTGTGTTGTTCGAATAGAATGACTTGGTTTTTCTCCTTCGTTTCGTGGTAGCAGTAGATACCTGCTTTACCACATTTTTCTGGCATGTGCTGTTAATGAAGAAGATAAATAGCCGGCCAAGTTGATTCTAGATCTGCTAAACGCTAGCATGATCCCCCCGAGCGTACTCGACATTGGAGTAATATTCTGACAGTTGCTGTCTCAATTTCTCAAGTTCAAACAAAGTTATTGAGTGTCAGATCAACGAGCTTACCTTGTATTATAATGGAAAGCTATATCGCTTGGGACCATCGTAGTACGTTAGATCGGTGAGCCTATTTTTAATTATACAAGACGCGTGAGGAAATAATTATCATACAATTTATAAATAAATAGCTCGGTATCCGTACAAAAGTTCTCTTTAAGCTTGGGTCTTTCCAGAAACGATCACGGCTTGATAGCCAAGACAAGCTGCCGATGACAATCTTGAACTTGACCACACCATCGTGCAGAAAGTGCTAAGTATTTGTGCACTAGGCTTGGGCTCATATTTCAAAAAGGGTACTTATGCTATCTTTCTTACTGAGTCGGGCGTGTTCTGCAACCAAAGCTTAAAGGTCGGAGACCTGGTTTTATTTAATTTAGTCCTCACAGATTTGTTATCTCCTTGCAACAAGATTTCTGTGCTTAGTTATGGTATGTTAAATCAGAAAAACGCTAAATATTTAAGTTAGAATCTTGATAATCACAATTGCAACGGGGCTGCCGTAGCAAAACGCTTGAGGAAGCGTACTTTAAGTCATCGACCTTTCATTCTTTACAAGAACCAAGTACTAGTGCAGCGGATCGCAATCCGCTGCCTTAAAAAGTACTAAAAAGTCTTAGCCAAGGCAAACAAACACTTTTGTCCAAAATCGAAAACTGATTTTTATTTATCTTTTTATCCTAATTTTAAAGTTTGAATTTTCCTAAATATACTAAATACATATAGTAAAATCTTAATATGCATAAGTACTGGCTACCTAGCCACTTCTTCTTTGGGTGCAGTCACACCATGCACACTTTGTGTGACACACACTTCTGTTACCAGGGTACGTATGACCCCATTACAACAATATCCCTGGTAGAACTTATCACTTGAGCTGGGGGAATCATCTTACGGTCTGTGCACAAAATTACAAGACAATAAGATTGATACGATTGGTATCAAAGGAAGAGCCGAGATCAACATCCGTCATAGGTTTGTCCATCACCGAAAATTATATATCACGGTGGGACAGCCAGCTTCATGCATCGCGCAAGAGAATGCGCTTATGCCATCGTACAGTTATATTGTTAAGAGCCATTGCCGTGCGATGCAATATAAGTTTTTGCGTATTAAGTTTCACGACGTACTCTTTCATCTGGGGATAACACGTGTGGTGTGTATTCATCACGCCGTGATATTCCTTTAACAAAATGTAAAAATCCGTGGGTACTAAAGTAATAACCTGCTCAACGTTAACTCTGACAATTTGTGATTACATAATACGATTGCACTCAAGTTTCAAAACTTCATGTACGTTAATTTCACTACTAAAACCGGAATTAAATGTTCTACTATCAAAGACATCATTGGCATATGCGTGAGCCCGTGAAAATCGAGATGATAGCGATAGCTCTTCAATGCAGCCGTAAAGTGATCTGCATCTTATCTATCCGCGTTGTCGTTTTGCCAAAAGCTTGCTTTCTTCACACCTTTCGTTCTCGGCCGTTCGATTATAAGAAATGTCAAAACGTATATTCATTAGTAACAACTAAAAAGATATAGATTCGATCTATATCTACCCTTAAAAAGCAGATATCACCAGTGGTTTTACGTGAAATTGCTGTTTTAGATATCTGAATTATTATAAAATCGATTTGTAATATTATGTACTCATACAATTATCACACACCACTAAAATCTCTCGACGCACACAACACATCCGCACTTCTTAATAATTCGTTACCGATACATGATAAATGAAACTTTCCGAGCTCGACATTGATGCCAGCGTTGAGGATTTTAGAAGATTTATGTCCGAAAACATTCTCTCGTTCTTGTAACAGCCCGAAGACGCTTATTGACCTGTTTTGACGAAACGGTTCTGAGGGAACCACTTCTTCCGAATGGTGTTGAACACAGCCTTTCCAGCGTAAAATACGATGGGAATGCTCCAAGACAGGACCTTTTCAGTGGTGGTAAGGACGTTATTGTTTACGAGAGAGACGATGGCATAGCATCGGCGGTCAATCAAATTGGTCGCTCGATAAAAGAAGCAGTTACGAAAGACAAAGAGATCATGCTACAATTCTTAGCAGTCGGATCGCGGAGTAAGAAACAAGACAGAAATTGCTTTCTATGATTCAGCGGGGTCATATTTTAGAGTACAAATCTGTAAAGTTGTTTGCCGACTTTGCGTTGCTCCACATGCTTCAGCACTCGACTTCAGCTGAAGTCGTACACGAGAAATGGGTCAAAGATGAAGTTTATGTTGACGAAATTCAGAGCTTTTGACAGAAATATGTGCCACGATATGGCAAGCTTGTGGCTATCGCACGTCGATTATAGTTGGAAATATGAAAAGGTGAGCTTACCGTTAATCAAACGTTTCAAGCAGTTAGAACTGATA